TTCATTAGAATATGCAATTTGTACTGTTACATTACCCTTAATTATTATGGAATACAATTTAAATGACTGATCTGATAACTATGTTTTCATTAATGTAATTTAAACAGGGTTATTTAATAGCACTTTAATGATGCATACTGCAAACATTTCAGAATAAGTTTTAAATATTAAAGCAGTTTATATACTGGATTTTTGTTTTCATCTAACAACAAAATATTGAAAAGAAATTTTTATTAGTAACCTGACACTGTATTTTTCAATTTCAATGAAACTGTTACTTCAGAAAATGCAGAATGTTCACAGTAAAAGACAGTATATGCAGCATTATCTCTATCAAAATATAAAGTTACAAAAGCAATAATAATTATAAAATATGCACTAAATTTTAATTGAATTTTCCTTATTGAATATATTCAAGCAATCTTATATGGTTGATGTTCCTGCTAAGAGAAAACATTTATTAAAACATTTGTTATTACATTACAAATCTCACGCAGAAGAAATCTCCATATATAATTAATAAATAATGATAATTTAATTAATATAAATATGTCTTTGAGAAATAATTGAATAGTGAATATTTCTTATAATAATATAGTTCCTGTCATAATATATTTTTTTTAAATCTGAAAAAGCAATGTTTAATGTCCTAAAAACATTTATTAAAAAAGCTTCTAAAATGTAGGAGAAATACGTACAAAATGACATAGGCAACTTAATTCGAATTTGGCAGTCTCAAGCTTGCAACTGACCATGACACCACGTTATCCAAACGGCTCTTACTAACCTGTCAAAATGTGAACGCACTCCTCTCATTCGCCCGGGTGTCATGGCCGACAACAAGAAATGATACGTTATGAGTTTTTTCCTTGCAACAAGTTTTTTTGTATAGATGGTAATTTTTTCACTATTTTATCTATTTGTGTAACATTTATTTCAACCCTCAAGAATTTGTTGTTGCACTTAAATAACTTTTTCCATTAAAAATAACATCTTTGTATTTATTTATTTTATAATTTTGTTTTTTTATAACGTTATATGGACAAAACGACATACATAGACAATGGACATAATGACATACCTGTTATTTAGTCTATAAGAGCTTAGTCAAGGAATTTACCTTAATCTCTTAACGTTTTATTAATTATCAAAAATGTCTTCCAAACAAAGTTTTTCGTTATTGTTTAAAAGAAATTTTAGTATAAAACTTTATTTCCTTTCTTACATATTATTTACAAACTTATTATCTTTCACATAACAAAACACTTGCAACGAATCACGTGACTCGACAAACCTCTTTAGTTTTAACTTCTACTCCTAATATGAAGGCAATTAAATCAAAAAACTGTGTCCAAAGCTCCGCCAGAGAAAAAGAAACGAAATATTACTAAAAAGTTACTTGAAGAAGAAAATTTTCCTGATAACTCTCATGATGATGAAGAAGACTGTCCACGCATATATTGCGATGATCTTTTTTCCCGATCTAAGCCTGGACGAGACTGGTTACGGTGCTTAAATTGTTTCTGTTGGGCTCATGCTTCTTGCGCTGACGTTTCTAAAAGAACCGAGCGTTTTATTTGTGAACTTTGTCAGTAATTTTATAGTTTTTACGTGTATGTCATTTTGTCCTTACGTAATCTGTCATTTTGTCCATATACTATGGACAAAATGGATTTTGGATAATCTCAATTAAACTAACGATATTTTTTTTGTATTATTTTAATATTGTAAATGTTTAGTATATTTCATAGCTAAAGAACCAAAGATAATTGGTGTAGAATATGACAGTGATTTGATTTACCAATAAAGAGTTATAAACCTAAAATAAAACCGTATGTCATTTTGTCCGTATTTCCCCTACTCAGAGAATGTTTTTTTCTTAATGTATATTAAGTGAATTATCAAACAATAAAATGTCACCTTGGGACAAAAAAATTTTAATTAAAGTAGCATTTCTTCAATAATTTATGATGAAGATTTATTATTATACAAATCTAATCTGGTTTCTCTGTGTATAATCAATAATAAACCATTACTTATTAACTTTTAAATCATTATACATGCTATTAAATCATTGAAAAATTGAAATTTCTTTGGTCAAAACTTACAGAATACAGTACAAAGATACTTCATTCTATTTATAAACTGAAAAAGTAAATGATAATCATTGCAATACAAGGATAGATTTTATTTAGAAATTCAAAACTTAAAACTTCTTTAGTGAAAATTAACAGATTTAAAGTTCAAAGATATATTCTATTTACCAGATACAGTTTTTTATTTTTTATTTTTTAGTGTTTCCATAAACAGTAATGTTATCATCAATTTAACACGAACATTAATGTTAATGGAAGTTTTACTCATAAATTTAAAAGAAAGGGATGATATATCGACATTTATTTATGACATTTACAATAATTTACACGTTTATTTTTTATGATCAGCAGCAATAAATCCATTTAATTGAGATTGAAAAAAACGAGCCAAATTCGCTCTAAAAACATCGTACACACTACTGAAAAGGACCCAATATGGCGACTGCCGCGATGCATCACGGTTTCGTGTCTAGACCTTGTGTTTATAGACCTTGCTTTTCGCGGAAACTCCGAGCGCCCTCTATAAGAAGTGATGCTTCCCAATATCTCGCGAAGGGTCGCGTGTATAGGTATGGTTCCTTTGACTTTATAGCTCCTATGGGCATACACTACAGCTCTGTTAAGGTTCCAGCATTGTTATTCAAATCTTCAATTGTATAAAAAGAGGCATGTTTACTTATGAAAGGAACAATGTGCTCGGATGTAAAATTTAAAGGCAATGGACGTGTTCTACATTTTTTTTTTATGCGATGCCACGAATGTCGTTGTTTTCACACACTTTATTTGTAATGTTTAAAATAACCGATTAATATGGCACGTTAAAGTTGGTCGTCATTTACTGTGTTTTATTTTATTTTCCCGTAAAGCGCCCCTTATCCGCTTATTGGTTACAGTTACAGAGTGGTCTTAATACGGAAACTTTTATTATGATCATCCTGTTTATCAAATATGCTACCAATTACATTAGAAATATGATATTTGTTTATATGAATTATCATTTGCTAACTATCATTAGAACTATTAGCATTTAACACATTAATGAAACTAATAGCATTTTAAAATTCGACCTGTAACCGGAGGTATACAAGGTCAAAGTTCACAATGTTAAGTCTATGGTTTAGCAGAGCGAAATACCCGGTCCACGCGAACAGACATACTATTTTATTGTATTGATAAAAACATCAAGTAAGATTTTTTTAAACCAACTGCGGGATTTTGCCCAGAGGACCACTCATCATATAACATGCATGTTACAACATGGATTCCAAGCATAAGTTAAAAACAACTCATGTGACAGTCAATGTGTTAAACTCAACGTCACTTTTCGTGTATAAAACAAATTATGTAAATGATTCTTTCACAATTATTCTTATAATTAATTTTATTTTTAAAACAATATGAACAACAAGCGAATAATATTAATTTTAAAATTATTTTTTATTTATAAATTTCCATACATCTATTTGAAATAATGGCATTTAGATGTAAACCGTTCGTTTCTATACATTTAGTCTACATTTTTCAAAGGATAAATTTTTGTCAGATATTGGTAGATAAATACTATAAACAGGAGTAAAATAAGCAAAGGTAGAAACAAAAAGAATGGCCAAAATATTCTAAACCAATGTCTTCTGTATCTATCCCAGTGTGGTTTCTCAAGACTACACGTTCCATTACTGTAGAAATAATTAATGGAAATTAGAAAATAAATAAGACGAATTCGAAAAAATAATAAGGCTGGCTAAAATAATATGATTAATGGCAAGATTTTGAGCTTGGCACTTTCAAAAAGTATATCTTTTAACTAAATCCATGGTTAAAATATTGTAAGTTCTTAAATGTAAAGAAACCAACCTCAATATCTCAAATTATATGTATAAAATTAAATATAAAATAACATTTTACCTTAAGCATATTCCTTTATTATTATGACAGGAAGTTCCAGGAACTTTTACATATATTCTCCTATTTGGTTGGAAAAGTCCGAGTGATTGGGTAGTTCGACAGTTCCTCGAAGCGTCTAAACAGCAAATATGGCACTCATCATTCTTAGATGCACATTCGCAATGTTCTAAACCATTATCACTGCAAACGTTACTTGTGCAAACACCATGTCGACAAGTGCTAGAAGATCCTAAACAAGGGGTGCCATCCGCTAGAGGAATTCTAGGACAAACTGGCGACGTTCCATCGCAGGTTAAAATAGGTATTTGACAAGGAATATAAGAAAAGCATTTATGATTCTTTTCTTTTGAAATAATTTCACATTTTTCGTTACAGCAATCTCCTTCTCGAGGACTACAGAAAGTTGCCGTGTATTTTTTCAGAGTGCATTCTGCCTTGCTTCCTGGAGGATTACAGCATTTGTCCGTTTCCGCACAGGCATCCCGCCTTCCGCAATCGCATTCTTCTCCTAATTCGGTGATTCCGTTTCCACACACAGATTTTGATTTTTTTTTTAAACAATGTCCTGTAAAATATTTATTATTTTAGTTTTATATAGTGTGGCATCAGCATACTGGAGTTCAGTTATTCCTATTATATAAATCTTAATTTATAATATGTGAAATATGAGTAATGACGTTCAGAGAGACTATAAATGAAAATATACATACCTTGCTGACTATAAATAGTTTCATATAGTTCTTTCTTACTGCAAGGAGAGAAAATCCAATTGTTGCGGAAATATCCATCAGAAGCTACAGGATACATAATATAATTTCCAATTGCTCTATTTTTATCTCCGGGAGCACATACTGCATCTCCAGGTTTATCGTGAGGCGATCCAAAAGTATGTCCAATTTCATGTGCTAAAATTATACTGACTATCGACCTTGAAATGACCACTCCTCCATTAAGATTAGTGGCAATACCCACATCAGTATTCAAACTACCGAATGTAGAATGGTGACACAAACCTTCTGTATATTGCAAAGAATCTTTTGATGGTAAAAAATTCGAGTAAATAAAACATTTCAAATAATACTTACTTAAAAATGCTTTTCCTACAACTCCACCATCAAAATCCCTATGGCAAAAAGCTAATGCCATGCAAGAATCGTGTCTGTACTTTTTGGCAAACTCGGTCAAGTACTTGGTACTATCGGAAGTGATAAAATTAAGAGGATAATCGGGTCGATTCTTATCTTCAATAATTGTTATCTTCTCTACGTTAAATCCAATTCCTTCTGGTACCAGATCATTATCTAGATCCGTATTCCTGAAGACTTTATCAGATACTTTCACATGATAAAGCATTTCGGCAATAATCTGTGGCCGAGAACCTTTAAAGAATTCCACAAAAGTATGATCTGCCAATACTTCCACATCGCATGTTAACTGGTTTCTGTAAAAGAAATTCTATGTAACCTTGATTAAATTGATTATTTGACTGATTGATTTAATTTTACTGTATATTGTTAATTAATTTTAATTATGTAGCCTATAATGTTTCATTTGATATTGGCCAACATTCAGGAGCATTTTATATTATGAATTGAATATTAATTTCCAATTTTCCATAAACTACGGGTAATTAGATAATTTGCATGTTAATATGATTCCCACTTATAAAGATAGCTTACACGATTGCGATGAATGGCTACACATCTTGATGGAAAGCAATCATCCATTTTAGATAAGCTTAAATACGTTATTATAGTGGTAGTAGGAAGAAAAAAATATAAATTAAAGCATTACAATGGATTAAATAAGGTTAAATGTATTACTACTAGACCCAAAAACTTCATGGAATTTTTTATTTGTAAAAAAATTAACGAAAAGTTTATATTTTGAAATATTTGGCCCTCCATCTTTTGTTATATTTAACAAGAAATGAAAAAGCGACATGCTTCCTGCCAAATTGCTTAGTAATTATTTTGCCTTAATAGCTTGATAGATCCGGCAGTTTAGTTGTTATTTGAAATAAATATCGAGTTGGTTGTATTTATTGTATAAATTAAATGATCTAATTTGAAATCGTGTGGTTTATAGAATAATTATATCATTTCAAGAATGGTGTAATATAGTGTGAACTGTATCTATAACTGCAAATTCGATAATTTACTGAAACAAAGTGAAAATTCAACTTACTCTACAAACACAATATCTTCTACAATCTTTTTACCGTTGAAACCTTCAGAAAAATTCACTTTATCGACAGAAATTACATCATTCATCACTCTTTCCTCGCAAATTCTTCTTCCATTTACCATTCTACATCCAGGAGGAAGGACGTCTTTCTGTTTATAAATAATAACTTTATCCTTATATCTGTCTTGTATTAAATATAAAGATGCCATTTCTAAATAGTAAATGTCTTCCGTCAATTCTATTCGTCCAACGAACGAATTTTTATGAAAATATCCACTAACTGAAGATTGATTTTCTCCTCTTACAATTCCGGTGTAGATCGAAGAGCCCGGTATGTTTTTTAGCTTTAATTGAATGGTTTTAGCGCCATTAATGAAGACTTTGGTACTGGGAGAAAGTATAGAATGGTCTTCGTTAAGATGAAGATGAAATTTCTTTCCGTAAGCACGAAATCGCACGAAAGTGGAATCTTTTAGTCGAATTTCCTCGGCAATTGAAGGCTCGATTTTCGTGCTTATTACCTGAAAATTTTGAATTAAGTCTAAGTTCGGGTGTACGCAAAATACATTAGATATTTTTGACGTTAGAAATAAATAAATCAGCATAAGTACAACTGACATATTTGAAAAATTCTTTTAAATTCGAATAGAATTTCATTCTTTCACGAGCTTTCTTTTTAATTTTGGAATGCAGATTTTGAAAATTATAGGATATAATAAAAGAATTTTTTAAAGAAATACCTAATAAAAACATGAATTTATGAAGCAAAACCTATTTTATATCAAAATATATATGCATGTACGCCTTGTGTACTGTACATATACTTTTTAATAATTCTTTCCACCCTGTGACTAAAAGAGTACATGATGGGCTTGC